TCAGCCTCCTGAGTAGCTGAGTTACAGGCATGCACCACCACCTCTGGCTAATTTTTTTTTTGTATTTTTAGTAGAGATGGGGTTTCGCCATGTTGGTCAGGCTGGTCTTGAACTCCGTACCTCAGGTGATCCACTGTGCCCAGCCTCTGCTATTGATTTCTAATTCCATTGTAGTTAGAGAACATACTTTGTATGACTTAATTTAAATTTATTAAGATTAGTGGCTAAGAATATGGTCAGTCTTGGTAAATGTTTGGTGTGAACTTGAGAAAAAAGTAAGTTCAGGCCAGGCGTGGTGGCTCACACCTATAATCCCAACACTTTGGGAGGCTGAGGTAGGAGGGTTGCTTGAGCCTAACATAGTGAGACTCTGTCTCTACAAAACAAAACAAAACAAAACTTAACTGGGCATGGTGGTGCATGCCTATAGTCCCAGCTACAAGGAGGCTGAGGTGGGAGGATCCCTTGAACCCAGGAGGTTGAGGCTTCAGTGAGCCATGATTGCACCACTACACTCAAGCCTGGGTGACAGAGCAAGACTCTCTCTCAAAAAAAAAAAAAAAGTAACTTCACACTGTTTTTTTGTTCTCCTTTCCTTCTTTTTCTGACTTCTTTTTTTTTTTTAATTTATTTTTTATTATTATTATACTTTAAGTTCTAGGGTACATGGGCATAACGTGCAGGTTTGTTACATATGTATACTGGTGCCATGTTGCTGTGCTGCACCCATCAACTCGTCAGCACCCATCAACTCGTCATTTACATCAGGTATAACTCCGAATGCAATCCCTCCCCCCTCCCCCCTCCCCATGATAGGCCCCGGTGTGTGATGTTCCCCTTCCTGAGTCCAAGTGATCTCATTGTTCAGTTCCCACCTATGAGTGAGAACATGCGGTGTTTGGTTTTCTGTTCTTGTGATAGTTTGCTAAGAATGATGGTTTCCAGCTGCATCCATGTCCCTACAAAGGACACAAACTCATCCTTTTTTATGGCTGCATAGTATTCCATGGTGTGACTTCTTTTTAATTGATTGAGCACACTTCATGGTTCCACCTTAACCTCTTTATTGGCTTACAAAATATAATTTCTTTTAGTGGTTGGTTTAGGGTTTTTAGTGTATATTTTAAACTTATCATAACCTACTTTCAAGTGATAATATACCATTTTATGTATAATTTAAGACATTTACAACAGTGTATGTCTATTTACCTCCCTCCTATTCTTTGCAGTATTGTTGTCATACATTTTTCTTCTAAATATGCAATAATCGGGCCGGGCACAGTGGTTCACACCCGTAATCCCAGCACTTTGGGAGGCCAAGGCGGGTGGATCACGAGGTCAGGAGTTTGAGACTAGCCTGGCCAACATAGTGAAACCCTGTCTCTACTAAAAATACAAAAGTTAGCTGGGCATGGAGGCATACATGTATAATCCCAGCTACTTGGGAGGTTGAAGCTTGAACCCTGGAGGCGGAGGTTGCAGTGAGCCAAGATCGCGCCATTGCACTCCAGCCTGGGCGACAGGGCGAGACTCCGTCTCAGAAATAATAAATAATAAATAATAAATAAAATAAATAAAAATAAATATGCAGTAATCTCTATATTGTTATTACATTTGCATTAAATGATAATCTGTTAAAGTCTGTTATCTTTTAAAGAAATTTTTAAAAGTGCATATAATCAGATACACAAATCTTAAGGGTATAACTCAGTGTATTTTTGCAAAGCAAACAACGTAGCCACCATCTGGATCAAGGTATAAAACTTACCAGCACCCCGGAAGCCTACCTCATGCCCCCTCCAAGTCATCAGCTATGTACAAATGTAACCACAGTTCTATCACCATAGGTAGTTTTGTCTGTTTTTGAACTTTATATAAATAGAATCATAAACTGTGTACGTTTTGTCTGGCTTCTTTCACTTAACATTATATATGTGAGATTTATCATGTTTTTGTGTGTAGCAGGAGTTTTTCCTTTTTCATTTTTGTGTAGTATTCCATTCATTGTGTGAGTAGATCATATTTTATTTATCTTTTTCAATGGTGATGGATATTTTGGGTTTCTGGTTTGGAGCTATTATGAATAGTGATGTCACAAACATCCTTGAACGTGCCTTTTGTTAGACATAAGCTCTCATTTTTCTTGGATGCAATATGTGTGAATGAAATTGCTGGCTCATAAGATATGTGTATATTTAGCTTAATAGATACTGCCAAACTGCTTGCTTTCTTTGTTTTTTAAATATTATTTTTAAAAATTTTAAGTTGTGGGATACATATGCAGGACATGCAGGTTTGTTACATAGGTAATGTGTGCCATGGTGGTTTGCTGCACCTATCAGCCCATCACCTAGGTAAAAAGTGATTGTATCATTTCACATTCCTATTGGCACTCTGTGAGAGTTTCAGTTGTCCAGCATCTCTGTCAGCACTCTGTATTGTCAGAAGACGAAACAGTACCAAATGCAGAGTTCACCTCAGCACATTTATCCTCTTTCTGGCATCTTGAGCCCCCATATCCTGGCTTCTTTGGTTGCTCTCTATCTTTAAATTGCTGTGCTTTTGTTATTGTAGTTACTCTATCCAATTTTTATAGTTAGTATCAGTTACTTTGCCATAGACAGAGTCAAAGTTTCTTTCTTCCTTTCCTTTCCTTTCCTTTCCTTTCCTTTCCTTTCCTTTCCTTCTTTTTTTGAGATGGAGTTTTGCTCCTTCCTTCCCTCCCTTTCTCCCTGCACCCCTCCCTCCCTTCTTCCTTCCTTCCTTCCTTCCCCTTCCTTCCTTTCCCTCCCTCCCTCCCTCCCTCCTCCCTTCCTTCCTTTCCCTTCCTTCCTCCTTCCTTCCTTCCTTCCTTCCTTCCTTCCTTCCTTCCTTCCTTCCTTTCCCTCCCTCCCTCCCTTCCTTCCTTCCCTCCTTCTTTTCCTTTTCCTTTTCTTTTTCTTTTCTTTCAGAGTTTTGCTCTTGTTGCCCAGGCTAGAGTGCAATGGTGTGATCTCAGCTCACTGCAGTCTTTGCCTCCCAGGTTCAAGTGATTCTCCTGCCTCAGCCTCCTGAGCAGCTGGGATTATAGGCGCCTGCCACCACGCCCGGCCAATTTTTGTATTTTTAGTGGAGACAGGGTTTTGCCATATTGGCCAGGCTGATCTCAAACTCCTGACCTCAGGTGATCCACTCGCCTTGGCTTCCCAAAGTGCTGGCATTACAGGCATGAGCCATTGCACCTAGCCAAGTCTCTTTTTATTTTGAAAACTATCTTCTGTGGAAACAAATTATTTTTCTTAAATTATATTAAGGCATTGTTCTACTCTAAAGCATTGGGATGGCATGAGGTGCTACTGCGTATGTCTGGGTAATTGCAGTTTTCATGTCACTATGTTATGTTTACTGCTATAGTATCTGGAATATGTTCCATTTGAAAGGAATTTATGAAATTGTAACTTACCTTTATGATTATACACATCTTTTTGTGTTTATTTGATCTTAGCTTAAGTTGAAAATGTCAGTGAAAAAAATATATTGTGAAGCTTCCATAATCTCTAGTTTTACTTTCGTAAGCAGACATTTAGCCTGAAATGATAGGCTTCTTGTCAATGTTGCATGACATCTGCAAAGGGGAAGGAGCATCCACCTCCAGAATATACATAAGGGAGAGGGGACCTTATTTATGAGAAGAAGGCTTGACTTGAAAAGATTGAAAATTTTTGAAAACTCAGATTTACCCTAATACAATAGCCTTGTTTTGGAATACCCTTCAAAATTGCTTATTGCATTGCCAAGCAAAAGAAGTCACTGTGGCAGGAGAGAACTTGGTGATGCTGCATAACTTAAACATGCCTGAGCTAAATTGTGGCCTGGAGCAGAGGAAGGAGATTAAGCAGTTCCTGTGTCAAGTGATGTGATTTCTAGAGTAGCTCACCTGTCTTCTGGTGTTTTGAAGCAGGTCATGGAAAGAATTGGCAGCAGTGCCATTTCTCTTAAAACTCATTGCGGCCAGGCGCGGTGGCTCACGCCTGTAATCCCAATGCTTTGGGAGGCCGAGGCGGGCGGATCACGAAGTCAGGAGATTGAGACCATCCTGGCTAACACGATGAAACCCTGTCTCTACTAAAAATACAAAAAGTTAGCCAGGCGTGGTGGTGGGCGCCTGTAGTCGCAGCTACTAGGGAGGCTGAGGCAGGAGAATGGCGTGAACCCGGGAGGCGGAGGTTGCAGTGAGCCGAGATCACGCCACTGCACTCCAGCCTGGGTGGCAGAGCGAGACTCTGTCTCAAAACGAAAAACAAACAAAAAAACCTCTTGCATGAACTGCTAGTGATAGTTTTAGTGCAACACAGCTCCTATTGACATCTGTACCTGCGTATTGTCACCATCCAAGAAGAATTGTTATACTGCAAACCCTTTGAGAAATTTCAAAGTTTTCAAAATGGCAGACAGTTCCTTTGCCAAGCTAAATTTTGACGGAAAGGAATGTCAAGGCTATCTGTGCACAGATGAAGCATCTGCTCTCTCTGGCAATACTTCTGGTTTTGTAGGTTTCATGAAGCAAGAAGGCCCACCTGTCACTGTGGCTGGGACTTTCTATGTCAGCATGCATTGATGTCAAAGAATGCAATGGTCCTGAAAGCCTGCTTTGACAGCCTGTGATTTCATCAGAGCCAGGCCTTGAGTCACTGCCTTCTCAGGAGGATTTTTTATGAAATGGAGCAGAACAGAAAGCTGCTTCGACTACACAGGAGTTCACTGGCTCTCCAAAGGATAAGGCTTGAAGTACTTGACTGAGCTTCAGAATGAAGTTCTACTTTTTTTTTTTTTCTTTGAAAGGAAAGGAAAACTCACAAAAGAGAGAAGGAGGAATTCATTCATGACTTGGCTTACTTAATCAGATATTTTTGGCCATGTGAGTGAGGTAAACCTTTCAATTCACCATTATAGATGTTGCTGAAGAGTGGGCATTTTTAGCCACTCTGCCTTGTACAAGAGGAGACGTGGGTGGACAAGTCTGCAAACCTTCTCCTGCAGGAAGAAATGTTTGTGCAGCCTGGGAGTGACAGAGTCATGCTGAGTTTTCAGCAGCAGAAATCTGCAGAGACCAGTAGATGTGAATACAGCTTTCGATAAAATCCAACATCTCTTCATGCTAAAAACCCTCAACAAATTAGGCATCAAAGGGACATACCTCAAAGTAATAATAGCCATCTATGACAGATCCACTGTCAACATCATACTGAATGGGCAAGAGCTGGAAGTATTCCCCTGAAGAACAGGAACAAGACGAGGATGCCCACTGTCACCACTCCTACTGTCTGCTTTTGAGGTTAACTTCTGCTCAGCAAAACATGACAACAGAGTATGGATTCACGGTCCTTCTTTGGGAACAAGCCATTTGTGAAGGAAACCTTGACGTTGTTTTCCTCAGGGACTTGAGAAAAAAAAAAAAGGATGCAGTGTTGATCCAGCTGTTAAACCCTTGGAGAATGGTGGCATTCTTTGACATCTGACATTCACTAACTCTTGTCAGTGGGCTTTGGGAGTGGTGATTTAGTATACCACTGCCTTCCTTTGGGAGTCTGGGTTTTCAAGCATTCGTTGGTACGTAAATTTTAAAAAGTCAGGTTGACCAAATGTCAAGGAGTGTTTCACAATTCCAGTGTTAACATTCAATAATAGTAATCATTAGAACTTTGTTTATTGAATGCTTGTTATGTGACAGGCACTATTCTAATAACTTTCCATGAATTAACCCATTGCATATTTCCAAGATTAATATAAGGAAGGCAGTTTTATTATCTTCATTTTCAAATGAAGAGACTGAGGCCCAGAGAGGTGAATAAAACTGCCCAAGGTAATAGGGCTGCTTAGTGGTGGAGTTAGATATAAACCTAGGTGGTCTGGCTCCAGAGTCCACATATCCACACCCCTGGTAACTGCTTCTCTTGTGCCAGGGTACAGCATACTTTCTGTTATAATTTTCATTTTAATCTTATTGGCACAATTTGGATTTCTTTTGATTCTTTTTAGGGTGTTGGTACTAACTTTTGTGCATGAAAGGGAGAGAGGGAGAGAGGAGAGAGAAAAAGGAGGGGAGAGAAAATAATCTCTGAAAAGATTTTTAAAATTTAACTTTAAGATAAATTGTGTACAACATTTCTCATGCCTTGGTTATTTACATTTTATTGGGGAGGGAGCTTGTAACTGTTATTAGGAGTACCAGAGGCTCCTGAGACCCAAGAGCAGGGACCGCATCTGTGTGTCTTTGTCTCCCATATGCTTGGCATAGTTCTGGGCACATAGTATTTGCTTTGTAATTTTTCATTGAGAATAAAGTTGCTGTACTTGAAGAGTTAAAGCTCCAGTTTCTGAAAAGCTTACTTTTTCCAAACACTTTACTTCCAGCTAGTTGATACAGGATAACACTCATTTGGTCAACAATTAGTTATTCAACACCTTCTATGACCGAGTGCTTCTTAGGCACCAGATGCACATAAATGCACATATTAGATTGTCAGGTCCCATTCCTGCACATTGCTTCTAGTCTATGGAAGGAAGACATGACTCGAGGAGCAATTTAATAAAGAACAGCAGGGGCTGTCAGAGGAATTACACGTGCCATACAAGCATATAGAAGGAGCATCCAGCTTTGTCTGGGGTACAGTGGGGGGCTCAGGAAAGCTTGTCTGAATAATAGTATATAAGCCAAGACTTGAGGAATGAGCTGGTAAAGGGGAGAAGGAGTTTTTCAGGCAGAGGGAGCAGCATGTACCAAGGCCTGAGGCAAGAGAAGGCAAGACAGGGAGGGCAGAGAACTGAAAGAACACATTTCAGCATGGCTGGGTCATGCCACAGTGAGGCCAGTCGCAGATGAACCAGAGAACTAGCCAGGGGTCAGGGCCGAAGACCCTTGTCTGACAGGTCAGGCAGTGTGGATTGTCCGTTGATAGCAATAAGACACTGGAGCGTTTCCCGCAGGGGAGAGCTTTGATTAGATTTGCATGGCTCACAAGGATTGCTCTGGCTGCTCTGTGGAGAACAGACCTGTGAGGGAGAGCAGTTCAGAGACTGTCCTGTGGTCTAGGTGAAAGACGATGTGGTCTGTGTGAGGATAATGCAGTGGACGAGGGTGACCCATGTAGATGCAGGAATGTCTAGGTGCTGTGCTCTGCAGGCCTCGCTGCTAAGGTGGATGTGGATGTTGTGAGAGAGGGAGGAGTCAACGATATCTCCCAAGTTTCTGGCCTGGGCAACTGGGAGACTGGTCAAAAAAACCAGATGATGTGGGGGTGAGGCGGGTATGTGCAGAATTTGGTTTTGCACATGTTGAGTTGGAAGTGCCTGTGTGACACCTGCATGAGGTGTCCTGTGCCAGCAGCATGACTCTGTGGCTTGTACACTTCTTGCTCAAATAGCTGGGCTATTCCATGGAGCTAATCTTCATGCCTTCTGGCAGAACTCTAGGTTCTTAGAAGCAGCTGCCGCTGGCCCTGTCTGTAGGAGGACCTCTAGGCTTGTGAAGGGATCTGGTCGGGACTGGCTTGCCACCAGAACCTCAGTAGTGGCTGAAGTGCTTCTGGGGATTGGGACCTCAGCAGGACCAGGGAAACAAAACCCCCGTAGAGGCAGCTGTGGGAAAAGCGGGATGGGGTGAAGTTGAATGTCTTGGATTAGATCCCTGGTTGCCTAGAACCCTCCAGAAAGGAAGGGAAGAGTCAGAAAGGAAGCTCAAGCACCTTGTCTTTGGGGAGACTGGTGACATCCCGGTTAGGAGCATGAGTTATGGTACAGACGGAGCTGGGTTTGAGATCCTGCTCTACCACAACCAGATATGTAAATCTGGGCTTAACATCTCAAACTCTTTATTATCTCGTCTGTAAAATGGTGAAAGCAGTAGTACTCACTTCATCGGATTACTGGGAGAGTCCATGTGTAACGAATTGAGATCCTGGGTAGAACATAATGCTCAGGAAATGGCTGCTGCTGCTATTTCTTCTCTTCCTCTTTTCCTTCGGCCTTCATTTGCTGTTATAATTGTCACTCAGATGTCTCTCTGAGGAGTATATTCTTGAATCTTGAATCCCAATTCTATGGCTTTAGAAAGGCTTTTTGCTTTCAAGATCCATGCAAGTTCCTAGAGGCTTATTTTTGTCACATGTACCATTTTTCACTGCACCACAGTGATGTAGAGACACTTTTGCAAGTTCTTCTCAAAGAATCTGTCATATAGAACATTAGGGAGCCACACAGACTTCACTGAAAGGAAAATTAGGGAGCTGCACTGTCAGCTTTAACAGGCACTGTAGGCATCGCTGTTTCTAACATACACATTGGATACCTTATCATTGTGGGCCGTTTAGCTCATCCCACCTCTTCCAGCTTCCCCCTGGATGACTCTTTGTTCCCCGCTCATCCTTTATCATGGATTGTCCCTGGGATCATCCATCTCCCTTTACTGTACAGAGCAGTTCAGATTCCCTAGCGCCTGTGGCCCAACACACATCCTCCAATCAATCAAGGGGACCAGCAGTTCAGAGCACCCTCCACCTAACAGGACCACCTTTCCTTGAAGTTTGTGGGTATAAGTAGCCCGTTTTAGCAGGGAAAGGATCTGATTTCATTGTTAATGGTCACAGATATCTTTATTTATGTTTCTTTGATCTAGGCCCTAGGAGATGAGTCGGTGGGTGAAATCTGCTGAAGGGGTTGTGAGCCTGGATTTTGGCCTATCTAGGTTGAATCTTGGGCCTTCCCAGTCACTGTTCTGTGGCCTTGGGCAATTTGCCTCACTTTTTTGAATCTCTGAGCCTAAGAGTCTAGGCTGGTGTTTCTCTTCTTTAAAGCTACCACCATCTACTTTATGCCTTAGAAAAAATGTCCCCAGCATACCTGTGAGATGGAATACTGTCTTAGCCTCTGCCCTTCCCACTTTCTTGAAGGTTAAGCCCACAGTCCTGGGTTTATTGATGTTTAACTGCTAACTTCCCTGGAGGGAGGCAGGGAAGCAAAGTTGCACACCAGGAATGTCGACAGAGATAGAATTCCACAGAATTGGAAACTGTGCCCCTGGGTCTATGTTTCTTGGCTCCTGACTCTTCTGAGGAGGTCCCTGCTTTCCTGTTTGTTTCCATTTTCCCCAAGAGAGGAGCTTTCCCTTTCCTTCATTGGGCCACCATGCTGAAGGGCTGTGAGAGTAGAACAGTGGGAGACCAGGTGAGTCTGGCAAGCCAACTTGACCAAACAAGGAATTTGGCCATCCTCACGGGGCGGTATCATGGAGGCTAGAGGTGGGGAGAGGCTGGAGCCAGAGCCTGGACGTCTGGCCAGGCTCTACTTGTTCATCTCTCTCCTCTTTGTCCTTCTTCATCCCTTTCTCCTGCCTCCCCTGACTTCCTCGGACTGTATTAAGGTGGCTGCCCTACAGCTCCTGAGTCCCTTTTTCTCAGGGACTGATTCACTTTTTCTCTCTCCATCTAGCTTCCAAATTCATACACAAGGAATTTATTAATTGCCTGGAGGGTTCAGATTCATGTCATTCAAAATAACTGCCTGGATTTCACCCCTGGCTGGGGTTAAGGGCAAGGTACTGTTCCCAGAGATGTGGGAATGGTTGAGAGCCAAGCACTCTCAAGATGCCAGGAATGGGCGCCATTGTCCATCAACATCCATTTGTCCTAATATATCATTTGCCTCTTGGGGCCCTTCTGGCTCTGAGAGCCCTGTCTGCTTTCCTCAGTGCCTTTCGTGTTCATATTGTGCTGGCTTCTGAGCAGAGGCCAAGAACAGGGCAGCAGGGCTGGTGGAATGGCAGCCCACGGAGGAGTCAGGGAATGAGTGATGGCTCCTGCTAATTGATGGCCTCAAGATCATCCATGTTAGTGCAGCCTTTAGTTGTACATGACTTGGGTCAGATGTGGGGACACTTGGCCATTAGGAAGTAAGCTTTACATAGCTCTTCGGGGTTAAGAAAGATTCCCCTTATGAGAGAGCTCATTCTGCATTTTTATAACTCTTCGTTTGGTCTCTGATGTGCTGACTCTTTGTGGGATAAAGTCTGCCTCTGGAGAGTCCCATGTGTTCGTGCCCCATCTGGGTCTTTTGGGTTCTGTGGAGGCTCCCCGAGACCTCCTCTGGGCTGGAAGGAGTCCTAGAGCTACTTCATCTCTGTGGCCAGGCCAGGGGCTGTATCTTGGCTGGGCAATGAGGGGGTTTGCCGTGGTGGCTGGAGATGCATAGGGTGTTCTTAGACCGAGAGCCCACCACCCCCCAGCCTGCCTTGTTTATTTATTTATTTTATTATTAGTAGTAGTAGTATTTTTTTAGATGGAGTTTTGCTCTTGTTGTCCAGGCTGGAGTGCAGTGGTGTGACCTTGCCTCACTGGAACCACTGCCTCCTGGGTTCAAGAGATTCTCCTGCCTCTGCCTCCCAAGTAGCTGGGATTACAGGTGCCTGCCACCATGCCTGGCTAATTTTTTGTATTTTTAGTGGTGATGGAGTTTTACCATGTTGGCCAGGCCAGTCTCAAACTCCTGACCTCAGGTGATCTGTCCGCCTGAGACTCCCATAGTGCTGGGATTACAGGCATGAGCCACTGTGCCTGGCCAAGAGCCCATTTTTTATGGAAGTGCACTTCCTTGGAACTCTTAGAATTCAGTAGGTTATATTAGACAAATTATATGTCTAACTAGAAAAAGTGCATTTTAAAAGCTTTATTTATATCTGGCTGATATTTTAATAGCCATCTTAGTAACTTCTAACTAGGTTTGTACTTTATATTTGACTGAGACAGGTTGACTCTCCCTCCCACCCTAAGAAGTTTAAAAAATAAATACTTTTATAGGATCATAGGATTTTACATGCCAAGATTTAGGCTGAAAATCCGAGCATAAAAATTGATTTGTATGTAAGAGGAAGATTAATAGGCAGTTCCTCCTCCCATCCCCTGTCCCCCGTCTTGCAGAGTGGTCCTGGCAGCCCCTGCCTGCCTGTAAATACTTGGGTTTGCCTCATTGGCAGGTCAGCATGAGGCAGGAAGAAGCCAGATTATTTTATGATCCATAAATGCAAGCACCAGACATGCTCCGAAATTCATTAGTGTTTACTTGTCATTACAAATAGCCTGTGTTGTTTGCCTTCCGACTAGACGAGCAGACAGTCAGGGCCCAATTGCAGGGTGTGGAGGGCCCTGAAACCCCGACTCTCTTGGGAAATGAGAGTTTAAAGCAAAGTTCTAATTTATGGCTGGAGATTGTTTCTTTCTTCTGAGTGTAGGTATTGAGGGTGTGAATCTTTAGATTCAGACTGGCTTTTTCTTCAGTGGAAAATATGAAGTTCTTAGATAAAATTTCATAAAATAAGTAGTCATCTCTTGTTTCTTTTGTTTATTTCCCCCTTTTGAATTACAGATAAACTTTTTAAGCAGGGAAAGCCCCTCAAAATGTTATGCCCAGATACTTCCCTGGGCAGCAGATTTTGTACCATCTCCCCCTGAGCCTGCCCGCTTTACAGAGAATAGCCCTGTGTCTCGGCCACCCTTCCCTCCTCTTGGACCTGGAGCACCCAGGGCTTGGGCTATGGCCAGCCCCTGACTGTAGCCCCCTTGGTCCATTTCAGACCCGGGTGACACCACGAGGTGATTGTGAGACCGTGGAAGCCCCTAAGCCGCTGCCGTTCTGATGTGGAGGTGGTCAGGACGGGCTGAGCTGTCTCAGCTGCACATGTGCTGAAGCCGAGACTAAGGCAGCCCTTGGAGGCTGAGTGGCATCTGGGGGAAGGCTGGTGTGCAAGGGGCCAGATGTCTGAGGTTTCTGAGTGGAATTGTAGATCTGAATGTAATTAGAGCATAATTCTTCCAAATGATCTTCATGTGGTGCTGGCTTAGGCATTCCTGGGGTCTGCTTGGGATGGTGATTTCATGCCTATCAATCACTCAGTTGTTCAGCACCTACTGACCAGGCACATACCATGTGTGAGACCTCCTGCCTGGTATTTCAGGGAACTCGAAGATGAATGAGGAATCCCTGGTCTAATGGGAAAGGTAAGAGATTTACCTAAATAATTGCAAGGGGCTCACTAAAGAGGACAAAGTGCTCTCTGGGAGGGGAGCCAATTCTTCCAGCTAGGACAACACACAAAGCATCCTGGTGGAGCTCCCATTGTGGTCTGGAGAATTGGTATAATTTGGACACAAGATAGGGAGAAATGGCATTTCTGGTACCAGGAACAGCTTGAACACAGGTAAGGCAGTTGGGAAGAAAGTGGCCATGTACAGGGACCAGTGAGCAGATTAGTTTGATCTAAAGCAAAGGTGAAGGGCTTTGTGGGAAGTAAGACTGGAGAATAGAGTGGTCTGTGTTCACTATGGCCTTGGTTCTGTGGGCACTGGCAGAGCAAGTGTTCTTTGGGAGCTGTGCTTCCTTAAGAAGCTGAACAGGTGGAAACCAAAGGCCTACAGGTGCCATAGTCACAGCATGCCCCAATCCAAGCTTGATTCTTTCCCCAGAATCCCGCTGTGGTACCCACCCCTGGAATGATATGCCTGCCCACCCAGTCAGGCCAGAAGCATGGTGTCTGTCATTGACGCCCCCTCTCTCTCCCACAGTCTCTGCTCCCAGTCAGTGCCTACTCCCTATCTCCCCTTCTTCCACCTGTCTGTCCCCAGTGCTACCCCTCAACTTTGGCACTTAATTTCCAGTGGGCATCTCTACACCCATGTCTGCCCCATCCCACTCTGTTGCCCACTCTGTGGTTTTAAATCTCTGTTCACATCACTGAGCCTCTTCAACATCTCCAGTGGTTTCCCCAGTGCCTCTGGGTGATTCCACATCTCTAAGGGAGGCGTGCAGGTAGGAATGACTTATCCTTTCCTCCCAGCCCTCCTCTGGCCTCCTGACTCACTCTCTGATTCACCTCCTCTGGCCTCCCCACACGTCCTTGAACCTACCTCCAGGCCTGTGTGTTTTCTGCTCTCTGCCTGGCATGCTAGTCCCCCTACTTCAGCTAAGCCAGCCCTTCTTATACTCCCTGACTGCACTCTGAACTTGTCCTTATGCATTCAGCAACATGTTCATAATTGATGTCTGTCTTCTCCACTGGAAGCCAAGCGTGCCTTGTCACTGCTGTGTCCTCCCAAGCTTTGCACAGTGCTGGTCACAGAGGAGGCACTCCACGAAGACTGACGGGCATTACTGATTAAAGGATGCTGGTGACAGAGCTGGGGAGCTAAGGCAAACAACAGTCTGGGCCTGAGGTTGGGAACACTGCCATGGTCTTGCTTCCAGCCTTAAAAAAGGGGTTTCACACCATTGAAGGCTAGTGGCTCAAATGTCCAAAAGGTATCCTCATACTTTTAAGTATCCCTGTATAGATCAAGCATTGGAAAGTTGTTTTTCCTTTGAGCCTTTTAGAAGAGGGAACTTTCCTGAAAGAGCCATTCCTCTTGGTTTGTGTGCACACTAGTCATCTGTAGCCAACATCAGACAGTACAAATGCCAGAACAGCCCAGCACCCCATAAGATGTTCCACTGCATAGCCATTGCTGGAATGTATCAAATTCTGGCGTTGTTTCCAGGAATCCTACTCTGTCTAGAGACTTCAGGCTGCTTGTGATCAAAAAGCGAGTTACTGGGATTGGGGAGAAGACTCTTCGGCTGTGAAATGTTGAATGAAATTATTATCTTGATGAATGGAGACTTACCCTGTGGTCCCGCTTGCAGTCTGCCTTGCTCCATACTGAATCCAGCCCAACACTGCGGGGAGCCCTGGGGGTTGGGGGTGTGACCCTAGAGCTGAGACAGCCTTCAGTCCCTGTGCATCCTCTAGGCACACCATTTTTTACAGCCCCCATCCCCCGCCTCATCAGCCTTTTCTAAGTGATGTCTGTCCACTCTCTGGTCTCCTGTGTGGTTACCTTACATCATACCTGGGACCTTTGCTTATTAAGAGGTCAGGCTCTGGAGTCTGCCATTTACTACCTAGCTAAACTTGCATAGTTATTTAATCTCTGTGAGCCACAGTCTTGTTATCCATCAAATGAAATACTAAAATCTACTTTATGTTCTGGTTTTGAGACTTAAATAAAGTAGATTTAAGCCCCATTATATAGTACCTAGAATGTAGGAAAGATGCAGTAACTTATAGTTCTCTTCCTTTCCTGTCTTTTTATTCCTTTTATAACCCCTGTGGTGCCATTCACTTTGTAGATAGTCAATAT